TGAGTGCCAACAGGTGTGGTCCCAAAACCAACCAACCAAACGAACAAACATGTTAAGCTTTGTGTTTTTAATTGATGATTCTTCATATTTTGTTTTTCATGGTTTTGTAGAGTAGCAAATCACATCCCTTTTCTTCTTTGACTTTCTTATAATTCAGTGTTCTCTTCCCAATTCCCCATCAATCGTAAGTTGTGTATTTTTGTTTGTTTGTTTTGTTTCATCTTTTTGTTTTGGGGGGCCAAATCTGGTAGTGCTTGGGGGCTGGAGTGATAGTACAGTGGTAGGACATTTGCCTTGCATGTGGCCGACCGGGTTCAATTCCCAGCATCCCATATGTTCTCCCGTGCACTGCCAGGAATAATTCCTGAGCGCAGAGCCAGGAGTAACCCCTATGACCCAAAAAGAAAAAATAAAAGAAAATCTGGTGGTGCTCAAGGTTTACACCTGGCTCTGCGCTCAAGGATCAATCCTGAACGAGCTCAGGGGATTCTATATTCTATAGGGTGCATGGGATCCAACCCCAGGTTGGGCACATGCAAGGTAAGTACTCTGCCAAGTGTACTGTACTCCTGCCCCCATCAATACTTATTTTTATGCTTGAGATTTAATTGACTCCTGAACCCATATGAAAACATTTCCAGAGTGAGTGGGCTCTTCCTCTTTTTCACCTTCATCTCTCCCTGGTGAGTTTCTGCAACATCTAAGATGCCTAGTGAAATCCTTGAGAATTAATTTTGTTCTTCTCATCTTATCTTGGCCCATTCTTAAGTATTTTTGGAATGGATCACTTACTTAGAAATGATTCTTTTGTATCTGTTACTTAATTTTGTATTATTTGGGTAAGAACATTACTGTAATAAACAGACCTCAAAGCGCGCGTGCGCACGCACACACACACACACACACATACACACACATATCTCCCACTTGACATTTAAAACAAATTTGGGTAGACCCTCTCCACCCATATATTCAGGACCCAAACCTGCTACCTGACGGAGGCTCTGATTTTTTTTTCCTTTTCAGCTATACTCAGTGGTGCTCAGAGGCTGCTAACTCCTAGCTCTGTACTCAGGAATCACTTCTGGCAGGCTCAGAGGATCATACGGGATGTGGGAAATTGAACTCCAGTCAGTTATGTGCAAAGCAAGCACCCAGCCCACTGTATTATCACTCCAGTCCTGGCTCTAGCATTTAAAATATATAATTTCCATATTTGTGCCAGGGTCACCATTCTTCTAGTTCAGAAAGGAAAGAACTATGGAACCACATGCCTTGGATATTTATAAATAATCTTGGAAGGCATAAGTGTTACTTCTTCTCATGGTCCCCTGTCAGTAATCAACTGTAGGGCCAAACTCAAGACCAAGAAAGCAAGGGAAAAAGAGGTTCTTCTTCAACCTTTTAGAAGAAGTTGAATATCACAAATAGGAAGAATCTCTGAAGATTGTAAAGTGTTTGTTTTTTGTTTCTTGGGGTCATACCAGGCTCTTTTCAGGGGTTATTCCTGGCTTTGTGCTCAGGAATTACTCCTGGCTGGCCTCAGGGGATCGTATTTGATGTTAGGGATCATGCCAGAGCCAGCTGCTTATAAGACAAATGTCTTACTCCCTGTACTATCTATCTGTTCCCAAAGATTGGAAATTGAACAAAAGTGAAAAACAAAACAAACCAAAAAAGCCCCTTCAGCTTTGCTTAGTTAATTAGCTAGAACATCATTAACGTTTTGTTTTGTTTTGCTTTGGTGAGGGGTGGGGGCATATCCACCTGTGCTCAGGGTTTACTCCAGGCTCTGTGCTCAGGGATCACACCCAGCAGTGCTCATAGACATGTGCAGTGCAAGAATAGAACCAGGAACACCTGTGTGCAAAGCAAACCCCTTAGCCCCACACTATCTCTCCAGCCCCACCATCCATTTTATAGAGAATAAAGGAAGCTCTGTATTCATGCTTGTCAGAATGATAAAATGGACTGGATCCTCCATCTCCAGCAAAGAGCAGAATCCTAGTAGTGACAAAGAGAAAGAAACCTTGAGGAAAAGAGTTGACTCAGAGCACTGGAATCTAGCTGTCTGTCTCGTTAGACTTTTATACTAGCAGGTCCTGTTCCACGTGCTTTTGCAGAAGCATCTATATTTTATTTTTATAAAGTGCTGTGATAAAGGATCAGAGTGATAATACAGAGGTAGAAGTGCATGCTCTGCTTGCAGCTGACCCTGGATTGATCCTCGGCCCACATGGTACCCTGCATAAGTCCTCTGTACCCTAAAGCAAAGTCCTTCAACATCCATGGCACTGCAGGCACCAAGGAACAGCCTTGGAGGAGCAACTCACATATAGAAATTCAAGTGTGTTGGCCAGTACTTACCAGGAGGGGGGCCCAAACCTCCTGAGCACTGCTTGGAAGATACCCTCCCTCATCCAAATGCTAAGACCTACAGGAATCTTGATTCAGTTCAGTTAAAAGAAGCGAATTATTACTAGGATTTTTATTAAGAACAATGCCTCTGGCCTGTTAACTTGGAGCGTGTCTTGTGTGCATAGCTAATCACCTGGGATTTATCCACATTACCCCTGGGCCCATCTCAAATTCCGATAACAGATGTATAGTCTTGTCATTTTGATTTAATCTTGTGGCATGAGCGGGCGCGTAAAAATTGGCACAGTGGCTGGGAGCTGGCTTTCCTGCCTGCTTAGTGCTTGGCATTGGCAAGTTAGAAGCAACATCCAAGCAGCATGCAGAGCTGCCAGTCAGCTCCGTCGGACGTTTCTTGCTTATCCCAGTGTTTCTTTTGCCCTGCTTTCTCTATGAGCTATGCTCAGCTAAGGCTATTCAGAAATCTCCCCAAACTTCTGGCAGCTCTCTTCTTTTTACACTTTTGACGGATGACTTCATAAGGCTCCAGACAGTGGGGCAGCTTCCAGACGGTGCAACTTCATTAGTCTCCTTGTCTATTCCAGGCGAGATAAGCAATCCAAGACAAATGCAAAGGCTGCTAGTCTCGGCTGTTGGGGCCTGTGCTTCTCAGGGTTATGTACCTTGCTTAGCTTCTAGCTCTTGCTTTCCTGGCTTGTTTCTCTGACCTTGTTCGAATGCCATGTTCTACTGAAGTAATTACTTAAAATGATGCTGGCATCTCTGTTTAATTCTAATTCCTTCTTTTGATTCTCCTCTGGCCCCCCTGAAGACCATTTTTTTTTTTTAATCAGGCCTCTCGTGTTTTCTTTGATGCCCATGTCTTGAGCACTTGATGAATTGAATCTCAGCATTAGCCTAAACTATTAAGGAGAAAAATCAGAGTAATGAGAGGAAGGGGGCACATAGGGAGCCGACTGTGAGTGTCTGGTGCAAAAGAAATCAGGCATTTGGTTGTGAGGTACTTGCTTGTTCATGTGGAGGGGAGGAGGAAAAATCTCTTCTTTTGGGAAAAGAACAAAAGAATAAAAATTAAGTAAACTAATCAATGGTGGGCCGTCATTTAAGTAATAATAAAAAATATTGCAGCAAACTACACTTGTTATAGGTAAGAAGGGAAATTGAGGCAATGGTTTATATTTTTTGATAGCTTTCCCAACAGTACTCAGGGAATATCACTTCTGGTGATGTTCCAATTGGCTGAATGGTTCAATGCTCAGATCCAGCAGTGCTGGGAACCCTGGGCCATAGCACAATGCACAGGGATCATGTGGTACCCAGGAGCCATGCAGTGACAGGGACTGAATGCCAGTCCTTGGGCATGCAACACATAACCTTGAGCGTAGAGTTAGCTCCTGACAATCATAGCTTTTTAAGGCAAAAGCCTTTTTATTAGAATTTAGGGCATTTTGAGACAGATCTTCACAATCTCCCAAAGCTAAAATTTCAGAGATTCAGTTAGAAGCAGCAGCAATAGTAGTACTTTTTACTTCTTGTGAAAGATACAAGTCACATGCACTTTGTGTATGTGTCTGTGTTGTGTGTGTGTGTGTGTGTGTGTGTGTGTGTGTGTGTGTTGAAAGTCCATTCTGCTTTCAGAAACCCAGAGAGGCTCATGATCCACTGTAGTTGAGAGTGACTGATCGGATGGACTTGAGTATCTGTGCCTCCTGAGTATAGTTAAAGCTTTGAGGGAGGAACTGTGAGTAGAGAGCAAGGGTGAAGAGCCTGATGTAAAACTGGTGTGGAAACTGATGTTAGAGCGGAATGATCCACAATGCTAAGGTGAGGTCTGAGTGCCAAGCTTTAAATATTCAGATAGGAAAGACGGGTCCCATATGGTGGAAACTGAGGAAACATTTATCCTCCTGTCAAAATTCACAAAAGAGGTAGAAAAAAATTAAATGATGGCTTTGCATTAAGCAAGCCTAGATTGGCATCTTTCAAACAATTGCTTTCCAAGAATTCAGGGGGCTAGAGTGGTGCTCAGGGGCTAAAGTACTTGCCTTGCAGATGATAGACTGCAATTTCCCCCAGTGCCTCTTCATGTATCAAGTGTGATCCTGGCACCTCAGCTGTCTGTAATTCCTGGCACTGGGAGTGATCGCTGGCTGCACCTATGCCAACTGTATGTGAGCATTATAAAGTTTGCAAAGACTGGTCAGGAATGGGAGCCCTGGCAAGAATGTGTGTGAGTGACGTCTAACAAGCACGACTAGAATGTGTGAACTCCACAAATCCACAAATTGTAACACCCACCCCCTGTCAGTTAGCAGCAGGACTGAGCATGCATGCACCATCACCAGAACCACAACCAAGCATGGGTGGGAATCTGTCATTGCCACAATGGCACCCACAAAGGCAAACAAAGGAGAGACATTCAAAAGAGAACGAAAGAATATGTGCAATCTAGCAATAGCCCTTGGTTTTGATTTTCTATCATACTTTGTTCACAAACTTACTTATTGATCTAAGACAATTTTATTTCTCAGTTGATAAAATTCTAGGCTAGTCTCCTAAAGTACAATAAATAATAATGTTTCTATTTGTTTGGAGGCACTAACTCCTGTTTGTGTTCCTGCTAGTGTAACATCTCAGATGTTGAGCAAACTGAACACCACATTACCAAACAGAAATACCTGTCAAATTGCTCCTTGTGAACCAGCACCTTCAACCTGGGTAAGTGGGCCACCTGGAACAACGCCAGCTGGCACTATGAGAAGAGTTTAGTGAATGAAGATTAAGGGAATAGAATGACCTACTAGAAATGTAGGCAGATGATCGGAAACTGTGACTTTCAGCTGTGTTTGTGGATTAAATAGCAACCTCTGAAAAGCCCTTAATCCCACCCAGTCTTCCACCCAGCCATTCCTTAAGTTTGTATATTTATACATGTTTGATTGCATATATACAATATCTGCCTGCAAGTACCTTGGTCAAGGGAGGGAGAAAAGCCAGAGATACAAAGGCAAACGATGAACATAGAGCATAAGTTTATGGTGAACTGGCAGAGTGATGAGGTTTTCTGAATGTCAACAATTAAACAACACACAGAAGCAAGCAAGAGGTGTGGCTTGTGTGATGGAAGAAGAATTGTGTACATGCAACCTAGATGATGAAGAGAGAGGGTGAAGAAGCAGGCAGGTGCCAAAAGGAGAAGAATCTATGTGAAGTAGGCAGGTGCCACAGAAGAATCTATGTGGTGCAGCTTGAAGTGAGATGGGTCGCTGTGTGGGTTGTCTTGGCTATGGCAGGATTTGGCATCCTTACTATCTGCACACCAAATTCTAGAGTCAGTTACCCCAGACACTGAGACATCTGGAAGTGCTCCACATTGGAGGCTGATGATACTCTGGTAGACTGTCAATAGTCTGAAGGTGTATGCCACACTGGAATACTCGGATCTCATTTTGTCAGTACTAAAGTTCCGAGGCTAGCACTTAAAGGTTTTTTTGTTGCTTTTTAACTTGATGCTGGAGATCAAATCTAGGACCTCACACATTCAAGGCAAGTGCCCTCCTATGGAAAGTTTCCATTTTAGACAGATCACACTCACACTGGTAAAGATGTGAAGCATGAACATAAAGCAATAGATCTCTAAGTGCTTTTCAAATACCAGTCCACAGAACTGTCAGTGCTGGTCTGCAGAGATTTCCTGATTATTCACACACAAATTATTGCTGGGAACAGAGTGACAGTACAGCTGGTACAGCATGCCTTGCCTGTAGCCAACCCAGATTCAATCCCTGGCACCACATATGGTCCCCCGAGCTCAATGGGAGAAATCGCTGAGCTCAGAGCCTAGAGTAAGCCTTGAGCACCAATGGGTATGGCACCCAACTCCTCTCTCCGATCCTCTCAAATTATAGCTGATGAACCCATTATCTATCTGGATCATGCAGCAATATTATTATAAATATTGTTATTTAAATATTTCTATTATAAATCATATTTTGTTTTTCCTTAGCAATCTGTGAAATGCTTTCCTTTGTCCATTTTCTTGAAGGTGTAGAAAAGTTGAGACCCACTGTTCTCTGAGGTTTCTGTGTTAGTCTAGGTGAGGAATGATGTCACCTGGTTTGATCTAGGCTCATGGGGAGAGTGGAGATGAGTGTCCAGGTCACCCGCAGGGAGGGGAGACTGGCGGGGCCTGATTATTGACTGGCTGGCTGGAGACAAACAAGTCAATGCAGTAAGGCATGACTTCAGATAAGAACAGCACATCAAAAAGAAGATTGGATTAAGTTTTGAAACACTCTCAGCTTTTTCAGAGGTTGGGTAGGTGAGTGGTTAAATAAGCCTGATTTTCACATTCTCTGTGTCCTTGTTTTAAAATTCAGAAGACATTGCAGAACTCCTTGGGAGAAGGTCATATAATCTTACCTTTGACCTTTTTGAGTGTTCCTTATTTTCTTTTTCCTACTTCTAGAGTGGTGTTCCAAAATCTAAATTTGCTAGTGCAGGGGCCATAAGTCAGATCAAGTCTGTTATCTCTACCTATCCAAGGACAGAGATCTGGAGGGAAGCATGGAGGTGCTATAGGTGGGGACCTAGATCCTGAGCGGGTGACAGTCTTTGGCTTGTGTCTAGATCCACCGTGACTGAGAGGACACGTGAGAGGAGGAGTTGAGTAGTTTTACCCACTGGGTGCTTGGCTGCTAGAATGGTCTTCTTCCTGTTGTAGGGCTTCCTGAGTCCTGTGATTTGAATCACCTGGCAGAACTGTATGTACTCGCTCTGTTGACTTTTGACACATTTCTTCATTTGAACGAGATCATCCTGCATTTTATATTGTCATTTTGAGCATCAGTAATTGTCTCCCAGAGCTGCATTTTTGTGTGGATTAGTCACACCGGCCTCAGAGCTATTAATAGAAATGATGACACAGGATTGGACCCAGGACAGTTTCTTGTGAATTGCATTCATTAGCTGTTCTCATTTTGACACCGAACTATTAATAATTTGTTGGTGCTCCATATAGTTAACTGAATTTTTACCTGTATTATACTCTTCACATTCTGTCTAATCCATATGCACAGAATTCCTCTGAGTATCCTGTGCAGAACCACTTTTCATGTTTAAGGAAATTAAAATATGTGCACTGAACCTTGGTGAAGATTAAAGAAGATACCTGTTGGTACCCGCGCTCTTTCCATCTATGAAATTGAACAGTGCTCTCTTGATTAGCTGCAGGTTTTAAACATTAAAAAAATGACTACATATATCAAAATTCACTCAGAAAAGTTTTTTGCACTTATTTAAATATGGAGTGGTCCTAGATCGGTAGTATTTTAATAAATATTATATAGTAATGTGAGTGAAAAGCCTTTAAGAAAATTCCTTGGAGGGTTAAACAAGCGAACTAAAGACAAAAGGTACTTAACCTGGATGATGTAGTTCTTTGTGCTATGTGTACATATTGAAGAATTGCCTCAGCTCCCTCAGTTATTATCATTGAGTATTTTCAGTTGCATGCTACATAGTTTCCAGCCCTTGGTTTGCGACACCCTTCCTTTCTTCTACAGAGAATAATAAGCTTTAAAAACCTTCACCTGGAGCCAGAGCAATAGGTAGGTAGGATGCTTCCCTTGCATGTGGCCGACCTAGGTTCAATCCCTGGCATCCCATGTGGTTCCCAGAGCACCACCAAGAGTAGCTCCTGAGTGCAGAGCAGGAGTCAGCCCTAAACACTGCCAAGTGAAGACCCCAAACAAAAACAAAAACAAAAAGCAAACAACAAAAAAAGACCTCTTCCTGTGATTCGGCTGCCCAGTGCATCCTCTTTCTCAGGAATTAAGTCAGTATGCCTTAGCTTAAAGCCCAGAGTCCTATTTGCTTGCCACTCTGCTTCCCCCACCTGCAAAATTCTGATGTCCTATAGTCCAGGGCTTTGCTGCTCCAGGTTTGATCTGTGGCCCAGCAACCTGGTCAGCTCCTAGGAGCTCTTAGACATGCAGATGAATCTCAGGCCCAACATTAATTGTAACGGGACTTGGATTTCTCATGTAGTCCATGGAAGATTTGTGTGCACGGTCATATTTGACAGCTTGATAGCTCAGGCCTTTCCAGTCATTTCCTCTCACTTCTACTTCTTGAGACATGTATGGAGTGGACTTTTTTAGTTTTTGTCCATGTGCTACATGTTCTTTGAAGTGCCAACACTTTTTTTTTTTTAATTTATTTATTTATTTATTTATTTACAGTTGTAGATTTACAATTTTTTTTGTGCTTGGGTTTCAATTATACAATGATCAGATACCCATCCCTCCACCAGTGCCCGTTTTTCACCACCATGGATAATATCCCTCCCACCCCCATCCCCCCATCCCCCCCGCCTCTGTGAAGTGCCAACACTTTGAGGCGCCTGTCCTTCACACTCTTTCCATCTGGCTTCCACTACAATTCTTTCTCACTGCTACAGTCACAAATGACTGCTCAGGGACTTTTGATTTTTTTTTTAAAGTAAAACAAATTTTATTTGGAGGGTTTTTAAGGTGTGGAGGGAGAGAGGGTGAAAGAGAGAGAGTGACGCTCTCAAGAGAGAACACGGACTTCTCCAAGGCCTGAGAGAGCCCCTACGCACATCCCAGAATTAGATACAAAAGCAGGAATGTACACATCTCAAGAGGGGAGATGCGGGCCACACATGAGCTTGGACACCACATGTGCTCGGCCATGTGGGCACAAGCAGCACAAAGGCTCAGGCAGCATATGCGCCTTGACTTTTTTTTTCCTCTTTCAAAAAACACTTTGTCAGAACAAAACATGTCTGTTCTCTCACAGTTATGCAGGTCAGAAATCATAAACTGGCAAATGTCAGGGTGAATGTAAAACTGGGTCCTCCAAGCCTGGAGGTTGGTCGAGTGCCTGGGCCGGCTCCCTGGGATATAACTGCTTCACCTCTCTGTCATCCTCACTTCACCTTCTCCCACTCTCTTGCTCTCCTTTGCTGATCACTCTTGTGATCACCCTGGGCTCACTGTATCATCCATGATCATCTGTTGTATGTCAAGGGCCCTAGTGGCTCCTGCCCATTAGCATGGAGCAAATACTTATCTCTGCACCCTGTCTTTGCTCTTTCTTTTGCTCTTTGATGCTGAGTATCTGCTAACATGTATATTATGTATCTTGCTAATCTATTGATGAATCCATTTAAAATCTTATGAATTTAAATCCTTTAGTCAATCTCTCAATAGCATTATTTCCTTTCCACAATTATGTAGATATTTTTTTCAGTGACAAAACTTTTTTGTTACACTTTACATTTTCTTTCTTTTTACATTAGAAAAAGTTTATTTATTTATTTATTTAGCTTTTCTTCACTTCTCTTTGAACATTTGCCTACCTTCCTTGAATGTTGGTGACTGCTGTACCAATAGGCTACACTTCTACTATGTAGACCCTACTGCAAAGTGTCTTTGGCTGAACATTTCCATGTAATTTTCCTTGTAGTGCCTGCCAGGCGACTTGTCAATTTGGCTTATTTCCTTCCTGGAAATGTGCTTCTAAGTCCCTCTTTCCTCCTGACTTAACCTGATACGTGGGCCTCCTACGTATCTGTTGTTCTGGAATTTTCCCTTCAGAGAAAGATTTTCAATCACTTGGGATCGCTTTCAAAGTCCCTACTACTGGGTCACGCCCTTAGGAAGCTGTACTATGCTGAGGTTTCAGCTGTGGGA